TTTTGGTTTGATTTTTTAAAAAGCATAATGTTTCACCAGGGCATCAAGGCTCATTTCTAACTTGGTTCAGAATCTGAAGCTCACCCAAGATTTCCCATTAACTCTCCCTACAGTTATTGAGTAAGAAGGGAAAATTGTCTTAAGTCACTTATTTCTCAGGAAGCTGAACCATCCATTCATAGGAGGAAAGAACAGCATAGAACAAAGAAGAAAGCTATACTTGTTCCCCTATACAAATAAAATTATGTGCCTGACAACTGTGCTACTTAAGAGAAACTGTCATAACAAATCAGATTATAACTACTTTTTGCAACTCTGAACTGTATCTTCTAGAAAAGTTATCTACATTGTCTTTCAAACCCCTTAAATCATAACTGTTACATTTACAGTTTGTTAAAATCCAAAGTTTGCTACTATTTTTTCCATTTACCATCACTTCTTCGCATATTAAAAACACCTTTTTGACCTGGGCTAGTAGCTATTCTTTTTCTACAAAATGATCTACTGATCAAAGAGCTCAAGACTTAGCAAGGACACAGTAAGTGTCCCATAGTCACAGGTATAGTCAATTAGGTGTACTGCTTCTAACAGCTAAACAATTAAGTTATTCCATAAAACCACAGGTAGTGTTGTCAACTCTTCCCATATTTAGGAATTAATAACACACACAAAACTATGTTAAAAACCAAAAATTTCAGAGGCTTCCAAAAGAAAGGACTCACTGCTACTGTAACACACTGGCCCCAAGTCAAGAACTGCAGCACAAAATCTTTCCTGTAATTAGCAAAATAAAAAAATAATTCAAAAATAGCATGGTGCAATTATCTAACAGCAAAAAGGAGAGCTGAAAAATTTCTCCGATTAGATGATAAAACATTATGAAGAAAAATATTTTAATGGACTTGCAATGAAAAAATAGTGGTAGTCAACTCCTAAGAGGTTTTCTTTACAAAGCTACAGACAATTTAAGGACTTCTTCCCTACAAGTAGTGTTAACAGGACCTCACACCCTGAACATTTAAGATGTATACATCCCAAGTGTCATAAAACACCAGAAATATTTTGTCAAAGGGTTCAAGAAACCTTATGTCACAAGACTTAGAAATTCACTCCAAGCACAGTTGTCCTAGGGAAAAAATGGAAAAAAACCACCACACATTTCAGGACAGAGAATTATATCAAACAGTTCTAGTGTATTTTACTCCTGGAAAACAGGGAGGAGAGCCCACTACAATGCCTATTCACAAATACTTTGAGCTGTACCACAATGTCAGTTTTCAGTCCAAAGATACTTTCTAAAGCAACAGCAACAAAAAAAAAAAAAAGGTAAAACCATGCTGAAAATTTTTTTAAGAATAAAAATCCCAACAAAAGAAAGTGAATGATTTCAAACGCTTCTAATGCATCAGCATTTCTCAAACACAATCCTATTCTCTTCTTAAATATCACTCTAGCATACTAAAACACAAATAAAAGCATTTCTTTTAAAAGTTAGGATCTGGAGAGAAAAGGTATTTCATTTAGTGAGCACCTCTTGAATACTCCTGAACACGATCTTACAACAAACATCTCAATAGCTTTTAATATTGTAGCGTGATTTTTCTAGTAAGTAACTGGCAAGGGACTCAATCAAGATGGTACTAGTAAACTGAGAGGAATTCTTGGTACTATTCTAAAGGAAGCAACCTGACTAAAACAGTGATGTGGAAGGAAGCACTTTAAAGAGCCCAAAGTGGAAAACATAAAGGTAAGTAGGCGTGGGCAATAAAATACTCGGCAGTTAAAATCAGAAATAATAGGATAGGCATCGTTGTTACAGTTATTAGTATAATTAAGCGCAGAACATTTTTGAAGTGGTAGGAGGAATCTTGCAGCAAAACACATCCTCTGTACAAGTCTCAACAGGTACAGAGAAGGACATACACGAAGCTACACTCAGTGGCACTGTTTTATGGATGATGACGCTTACCGCAGTACCTTCTCACCCAATGTCTGCACACGTAGTAACACACCTACCACACAGAGGAAACTTGGATAAATTTTTTTCCAGTCCTGGAAATAAAACATATTGCTTGAAATCAACCAAGTCAACCTGTAGCAAATTGTATACAGCAGAGAATTATGGCAGGTTGTCTCTTTTTTTTTTTCCCCCTACAAACTGATTGGACCATGCTGTCATGGTCCATAGCACCCCCGGCATTCATTCACTAACCCAACAGAGTTCCTCCACGTGAACCAACTAACACAGTTGTCATTCCAAAGGATTGATTTGGATAACCACCCCTAAAGTGTTTTAGATATGATAAACATGGCATTGAAATTTCATGAACATGGTAGTTCTAACTACCTACAATTTCTCTAAACAATAAGTAAAATAGCCAAGTTTATCACAGGGTACCAATCTGGACTTATGACAGAGTCCTGCCTCGATCGCAGGCCAAACCCAACCTGTAGCTGCAATGACTGCCAATGAACTACAACAGCTAGTAGCCATTCGGTAAGTTAACAGTTGCCACCAGCATATAAAAACCAATACACTGCTTCGTTACCACTTCCTTAAGAGTCAGCTGCCCTCCACTCCACTCGCACAGGCAAGGAGAGGACTCGGAGAGCTCAGGTGACACCACCCTGCGCAGAATGAGGACGCAGGGATTGTCTCAGATGCCCTCTCCTCAAGCCCTAGTTAGTCCCATAGGTTTCTCCATCCAAATCCTGCTTCAGAACCACCCAACTGCTTAGAGTACTCTGAGAGTATAAAATGTAAAGGGCCTTTACAAAGAACTCTAACATGATTCTCACCTTAGAGTCTATATAGTCGAGACACATATGACAAGAAGTAAACCATTTTTTTTCCTCTCGCTTCCTACAAAGACCTTCTGTTGACGTAAAATGTTGTGCAAAGATTAAAAATAATATGCAAGCACTTCAGGCCAAGTACTCATTTCCTTGTATTTCAACAAAAATATTTTCACAATAGCATGAAAGCCACCTGAAAGAGTATAAGACTAACATGAACTGGTTAGCAGTTTTGAAAAAACAGCCACTGCAGTATCCAGTGTTCAGCCTGATCAATGACCGAAACAAAAGAAGAAAAACAAGGAAATGTGAAGTAAAGGTTAATTGCACACTACGTTGTGTTGGTGCTATAAAACCAGCTCAGCTAAAATATGTAAGTGACCTTGTGTGATAATTGCTTGGAAAAGCAGGCAGCTTCGGATAGGTAATGTAACCAAGGCAACTTTTAGAATAAGTGCCTAGAAAAAAGTGATATCACGTGAACTATTCCCAAAACTAAATCACCTAGTCACAACACGAAAAGCAAAAATACTACTTTCAAGGTGTTTGCTTTGGGTCGGGGGGAGACCTTCAAGGACCTCTACTATTAAAGTTACCCGCTGCTGTTCATCCCCAGGCAACTCTGATGAGCCTGCAAAACGGGCTGCGTATTTTTTAATGGTTTCCCATTGTTCCATAGTCACTACTAAAACGCATATGTAAACAAGTCATAAAAGACAAGATACCATTTAGTATCTCTTTAAATACCACAACTTTATTGACATATTCCCTTAGAAGTTTATGCTTAACCATTTTCCTTCTTTTTAAACCACAGGGGAGGCACAGCAGCAATTATGCAACGCTCTTCCTTCAAAGGCAAGGCAGTTTTGATCGGAACTCGGTCAACGTCCAGGCCGAACGCTCAGCCCGAGTGTCCCCTCACGTTACGCCTTCAAGTTTGCGGCGGGGCAGTAAAACACCCGCCCGGCACCCACGAGCAACCCTGGCTGCCCGCCTTACGTAACTGCGGGACGGCTGAGGTGACAGCCCCTCACGGCCGCGCCGAGGGGCCGCTAACCGCTCCGATTAGTTACTGGAGATGGGGCAAAGCCAAACGCATGGCTGAACCCAGCCAAAGTCGGTGTCC